CCAAAACGGTTTTATCCTCCAACCTGGACGGTAGTTTCGACCTCGTCTCCTCGTCTTGTAAGCCTCCACCTCCCCTCAGGAGGATTTAGGGCAAGTCTGGCCTCTTCAAAATCTCATTTTTTTATATGAATACTCGCTTCGAATACAAGTAGTTTCATCGACTGCGATGGTGAATATATGATTGCCCACCGGCTATTGCTGAATACCTGCGATTCCGAAGAGGTATAACCTGCCTTGAAGGTCTCTGTGACCCAATGGTAGCCTTCGTTGCGTGGATGAGTCTCCAGCCTTGCTCGGAATTCAACGAAACTTTCCAAACCGGTGAGTCTTTACCACTTATTTGAAGGTGTCGGAGGCTGGAAAAAGTGCAGTGGAGCCCATTGGTGACATTGAATACTCGACTGAATTTGTAAATGACCCTTTTCTTCCACCAAGAAGAGCCACTCTTTAGGCGCTGCAAATGCGTAATACTTTTGACATATTGTTTTCCGATTAAAGAATTCACAAATAACCAAAGCAGCAGTGGTAAAGTTTGTATTATTTTTCAGCTGGTGTTGCAATATCTGACCCCTTACTGCCCTCATTCACGACAAACAGACTCGAGGCAAAAGGCCTCCACGCCAAGCCAACTCCTGAACCGTCGAGAGGCATTGCACCTCGGTCCAACCCATCTACGGGACAGACTGGCGCTCTTCACAGTCCAGGTCATTCGAGAAAGAGCGAGGTCAACAGCCTCGGGTCAAGTCGTCGGGCCGCCGGAGTGACGAGTGCTTCTGTCTCTGGCTGGCTATAGACAACCGGAGCGCATCTGCCTTTTCTGAGCGTAACATTCCTGCGCCAACCGGACTACATGACCTCAACTTGTTATATTGCTAAGACGTATGCCTCGAGGCTGTTAGTGACATTTAGACAGAAATACAGTCAACCAGGATCGCTCAAGGCGATTAAAGAGTTTATAGTGCAATTTTTCTCACAATGAGATGAGCAGACCTCATAATGTAATGGGTATGAGCATTGTGTCTACACTTTAAGCCCTAGCCTCCCAGTCACAAGTCAAAATGTAATACGGACAGAGCAAATATGACTTTCAAGTCAAGCCGAGCTTCTTCCAAATCCCCCTTTTTATTGGAATTGCCGATGAATCAAGCATATATTTGACGTTACAATAGGCTATTCTACTTATATCCATAGTGAGTAATGCATGTGTGTATATGAAGAGGAAATGGGTTTCAAATAATCCAGCGAAAAATTCTAGTTGCTGTAGCTTTCATTTCTTTCGAAAAGGCAAGTAGAAGGGATTCCGTTTTGACTGTTCAACTGTTATAATAGGTCCTCAGTACATCGTCCGATGACCGACGTTGTCAGCGGGAGAAACCATGATTTAGTAAAATGCATAAGAACAATAATCAAAG